ATACAACATAAAAGAGATTAGATAGTCTAAATTACTCAATATATATATAAGCTTTGACAATGTGAAAATGGAGATAGATACAACATAAAAGAGATAATGACGCAGATTTTGCATTTTTAGCAAACAAATCCTAGCTCTATATGCTCTTATTTTGGCCAAACGAATAATGAGCACATGCACATTGCACCCATTGTTTTCATTTACATTCAAATGAAACTAACACCATTAATACATATAGTTACGCTATTACTTGTATGCCATAACTATATACGGAAGAGAAATAAGAATTCTGTGATAACACATTATTTCCTCTTTGTAAAACTATGTATATGGCATTTATACAACGAAGGCAATAAATATTATTCCTATTTTAATTACCTTCCATTTTTTTTGAATTCATCCTAGTTCACATTTTCCATGCCCCCTTGGCTGCCTATAAATTGTAACTCTTCTTTCTCGCTTCAGTTGTTCATCTTCTTCTAGGAAGAGCAAGCTTTGTGCATTACAGATTTTTGAAATGTTTTGGTACTCATAACCCATTAATTTCTTTACCTCCCCATCGCAAGATTTCTCAAGCATCATCATCGTCAACAGCTCCTACTAATATGGATCAATCTGTAGGAGACAGTGTTATTCCAAAGACAAGACATAAGGTGAAATTCGTAGGTGAGCTTTACGCGCATGCATGCTATTCCTTTCTAGACATTTTAAACAATTATATCTATTTTTAAAAAAATTAGTTGTCGTATAATTTAGTTTCGAATTGTATAGCACTAATTATTAGATAAAGATGAGTTTTTGATATCGAAAATTCTTTATTATTTGATAATTCTTGTTTTGTAATTTGAATTGTAAAATAAAGGACTTATATTTTTTAAAAGTATAACCAATGACCAACAAATTGTTAATTTTCCAAGGGAAAGTTGACGGGGATAAAATCCAAAAACATCTTTCTAAACATTTTTGGACAAAACTATACCAACCCTATGATTTGTTCAATTCAAGTCGTTACATGGGCCGGACCACATGCGTGTCATCTTACATAGCCCGAAGCTACGATAAAGTGCTCTTTGCTTCAACGTTCCTATCGGCCCGATGGTCCATTGGACCCAATCCATTTACCATATTAATCTTTTGGGCTTCAACCTTCTGGGTTCATCTCCGGATGGCAACTTTCTTTCGTTCCAAACAAGGCGACTGGGAAGGAATATCTCAGAAAAGAAAATTCTGAGTCCTAGAAAAGAACAACTTTGTTTATACTTTATACCCTGCAAAGTCCACAGTAAGGTTGAGTTAGCTGTGTTTGGGTGGCTGTTTTATTTTTCAATTTTCAGACATCCCCTGTTCTGTTTTTGTTTATTTAGAACAAGTAGAAATCTGTCTCAATCCTCCCAAAGATTCAAAAATCTTTGAAATTTTGGAGTCTGAATTAAAACCCTGAAATGCCCATCTTGTCACTTGGATTCCGGTGCCAAATTTTGCTGATTTACTTGAAAAAGTTTCAAACTTTTCTTAGAAATCTAGGGTTTTCAGCACTATAAATTTGAAGTCTCTGTATTGGTGCTTAGCAAGGATTAAGCAAGGAAACAGATAATCCTGATTCTACAGGTAGTCGCGAGCTCGATCAACTTCTCAAGTCGGATATGGGTCGTTCTCGTGGAAATTTTCATGCTGCTGATGAGGACCCCACGCAAAGGTATGCTTCCCCATCATTTTAAAGTTCAATTTTAATCTCGTGTGTGTGAGTGTTTTTGGTCTTAAAAATTTGTGATTATCTGGGTTTAGCTTGGAGTGTCTGATGTTTGTTTTGAATCAAACTCTCGACATTGCTTGGGTTTGAAATGATATATTTTGGGTTTTCTCTTTTTCTGTTTTCTTTTTTTTTTTTTTGGGGGGGGTGGGGGTTGTTTATATTCTACTGGAGGAAGATGCATGTCTGGGAGTCTGATAACCTGATGAGAAGAAGTGAAAGATGGGCTGTTCCTAGAAGTTGTTTATTTATACATTTCATGTATTTTGATATGAATGATAGAGTTCCTTCTCTGGATTACTATTTTTGCTATGCAGATCAAGGAGAAAGAAGAGTGCTTCCACTGGAGAAAATTTGGAGTCATCATCTTCAGGTAAAAATCTCCACAAGGTTACAAGGACTCAAAGGGGGTGTTAAAGTGCCTTACGTTTCATTTTTATTTTTTATTTTATTTTATTTCAAGATGACTGCTACTAAGACCTGTTAGAAAGACCCTGTGACGTTGGAGTGTCCAATCAAACACACACAAATTAAAAATTTTCCAAGTAGCAAAATATATATGTTTCTATCCTTAACCTAGGCCTAAATAGCATGCCAGCAAATTATTGTTATATACACGTGTTTGTGTGTGTATGTAATGGTTCTAATAAACAGTTAGGAACATGTTACAGATTTGAGCTTCTATCTCAAAATGATGGTACTGATCGTTTAGTGATTTTACCATCTGTCACTAAGTATTCAAGCATAATTTATTTATTTGTCTGTACTTTGTATACTTTTCTGACCTTTTCCCTCCATTTTTCAAGTTCAAGGTTCTGGGGAAGGGAAAAAGGCTTTATACCACTGCAACTATTGCAACAAGGACCTCACAGGAAAGATTCGAATTAAGTGTGCTATGTGTCCCGATTTCGATTTATGTGTAGAGTGCTTTTCAGTTGGAGCCGAGGTGACACCTCACAAAAACAATCATACTTACAGAGTTATGGTCAGTAAACCTTCAAGCAAAATTTTCCCTCTGGATAATTTGCTGATTTGTATAGTCCTAAGGGTTTACAATACTAATGATTCTTTACAGGACAATTTATCTTTCCCACTTATGTGCCTTGACTGGAATGTAGACGATGAGATGTTGCTCCTTGAGGTACTTATGACCTCACTTCTAAAGTGTCAAATGGGCTATGTTTAATCCTTCTCAATTGTCTCAGTACATTATCTCATTTATAGAATACTAGCATGTAATCTCTACTAATGTTCAAAGTTTCCTGATAATTTTAGGGAATTGAGATGTATGGCCTAGGAAACTGGGCAGAAGTTGCCGAGCATGTGGGGACAAAGAATAAAGAACAGTGCATTGAGCACTATACAGATGTATATTTGAACTCCCCGTGCTTCCCTCTCCCGGTATGAAAGTTTGTACAAAGTCTGTTCTTAAGTAATTGTGAGTTAGGATGAAAATAATTAACCTTTTTTTATTCTCTTTTCCCTTTGAAGGACATGTCTCATGTAGTTGGGAAAAACAAAAAAGAGCTCCTTACCATGGCCAAAGGACATGGTGAAGAAAGGAAAGGTTAGTATCAGTATTTACAGCTGTTCTACGTCTTAGCATATTTGTCAATCAATTTTCCATGGTCTGGTTGCCTTGTTGTTGCTGACTCACTTAAGGGGCTCTTTTCTTCTTGCGCATGTTAATTTTGATAAATCTAATTTCTGATTTTCAATTGCTTGTGATTCTTTGAATGCAAAAGGATCTTCTGGACTTGGGGACCACAGTGTGAAGGAGGAATCCCCATTTTCTCCTTCAAGAGTCAAGTATGACCATTTTTTTCCTCTCCATTAGGTATTATCTTAGTTTAGCTATAAAATCGAATCAAGTTGATTTTCTTTGGTTTTTTTATTTACAGAGTTGAAGAAATGCATAAAGGTGGTCCTTCTGGCAGGTTACTAGGTGAATGTTGATATTTATTGCTTTGGTTTTTTTACTGTCTTTAAAATAATCTTGTTATATGATCCTGATGAATTATGTCTTCTTTTCATAAACTTCAGAGTTGGAGTCCAGGGCACGCACTAGCAATGCAGCCAAGAAGGTCCATGCTAAAGATGACCCTGTTAAAATGGAAGGTATATATAGCCTCCATTTCTAGCTCACTTGTTACTTTCATGAACTATATGGCTTACATGCTATTCTTACAATTTAGTAATATTTATTCTGAGGCCATCTGTGCTATCAATTGCAGATCAAGCAGACAGGACTTCTAAGGGGAGGAAATCAAGTGCTTCAGGAAATGATGGCCAGTCTTTAATGGAGTCAAGTGGTTATAATCCAAAAAGGCAAGAGTTTGATCCTGAATATGATAATGACGCGGAGCAATTGCTTGCTGAGATGGAATTTAAAGACACTGACACACTGGAGGAGCATGAGCTTAAGTTGCGAGTGCTGCGCATCTACTCAAAGAGGTAGGTTGAATGTTGATAGGGTTTGGGCTTGCCTTAAACTTACTGTTTTAGTTTCTCCTAAATTATAATTAAAAATTTTTTGGCAGACTGGATGAAAGGAAGCGGAGAAAAGATTTCATACTAGAAAGAAATTTGCTGCATCCAAATCCTTTCTACAAGGACCTCTCTCTTGAAGAGATAGAACTATGTAAGACTTATGATGTCTACATGCGCTTTCATTCCAAAGAAGAGCATGAAGACCTGCTTCAGACTCTGGTTAATGAGCACCGAACTTTAAAAAGAATTCAAGAACTGAAGGTTTGATTCATGTCTAGCACTTCATACTTCTGCTCTTTCTTTGAAAACAATTTCTCTCAAGTGTATAATCTATACATTTGGTCTGTATTGTCTTCTCATATTTTTGTAATACAACAATGTAGGAAGCCCAAGCTGCAGGTTGTCGCACATCAGCCGAGGCAGACAGATATCTTGAGATGAAAAGGAAAAGGGAAGCTGAAGAGTTATCCCGAAGAGCAAAACAAGGTGCTCCGATTGGTGCAAGCAGTCAGGGAGGTCCAAGTGCATCTACTGGACATGGTTCATCCAGCGGTGTTAGTGATCTGGAAACCCAATTACTGTCCGAATCCGTAAGCACACTAATATCAACAGCATACTTGGCATTTTATTTTATTTTCTGGTTGGTTTTATTTGTTGAAACTGGCTATGTTGCTGCACTTGCAGGAGAAGCGCCTGTGCATTGAGACTGGATTATCTTCACCAGATTATCTGAAGATGCAACAGGTCATCTCGGTGGAAATCTTCAGTGGAAACATCACCAAGAAATCAGACGCTCATCACTTGTTCAAAATGGAGTCGAGCAAGATTGATAGAGTTTATGAAATGCTTGTGAAGAAGGGACTCGCTCCACCTTGAGACCCAAATTCCTGTTCTTGTTCATGACTGTAAATCACTCCCCTTATGTACTCATCATTTTCTAAAGAAATGAAGTCAAATTTTACCATGGCTAGGCTTTATTGCTTTCGTAGTATGTAATTCTGTGACTAACAGCTTGATTTCTAATCCATGATAACTAAAACCGGGAGAAACATTAAGTTGCGGCAATGTTAATGCCTATGTAGTTATGTGCAAAACTCCAGTCTAAGATTCAACTACCGATGACCTGTTGGATTTTCTAGCTATCCATAAGAGTGCAAAAAAGAGTACCATATTATACATCCACAACTGGGGCATTCTTGTGGTACTTATGCCACAAATTGAGGTAGATTGTAGGATTGAAAACGGTAAAACCTATATCCTTTTATTTCATGAGGAATAAAAAACAATATTATAACCTTTACAGTTGACTATACTGTGAATAAAAGTGCCTAGGTACTGCTACGGACAATATGGGGGGCAACTGCCACACTGCCACACCCACCTCAAGTACCACAGCACAAACTAATTGATTCCTGTGTGAAAACCGAGCACTTCTTGACCCATACATATCTTACAAACTCTAAGATTTAAAACTGTATTGCTATTAACCTTTTTCAAGTGTTCCATTTACCACCACTGTTTTCTACAACAGCCCTAGGAACCAACCGGACAACTGCTCTCCAAGAAACACCAAAACAACCTTACCAATTTAGAGGGGCTTCTAAAGATTCCGATGTTCTGCAGATTCAAGATTCTCCACTAAAACCAACTTGTTTTTCTTGCTGGGGTCATCAACATTCTCGAGCTCCTTGTAGCAGTTGAGGCCACTCCATTGGCAATTTTCTTGTTTTCAGTTATATGCCTGTCCGTCATATTGGTTATGTTTTTCTATATTAATCTTGCTATGGTATCTCGACACTTGCCCTGTAAACCAGTGTGACGTTGCACAAAACATGGTTTGGAGTTGTTTGCCTTGTCTTTCGCTGTAATATTGCAATGCTTTTGGGGGTTTACAGACACCAATCTCGAAGTCTTCTCGGGGTTTATCATGTAAATTCATACCGTGTATCAACTCCAACGGAATCCTCCTGATCTTGGCTATTTGGATTTGTTCTTGGATCTACTTATGCAAGTGGCAGTTTACGTATGTGGGGATAACAAGTATGCTCTTGTTGCTACATTTGTTGCATCCCTCTTCATCATCAGTTATAGATTTTATTACTATTCATGCCCGGAGACTTCTGATTTGCCTGTTGGCAACATTCAAATGTTGGGTACAGAGAAAGCATGTTGATTTATCTTATTATTATTATTATTATATTTTTGGGTAGAATATGAATGTAAGAGTTTTTATTTTTAGTCTTTATATATCAGTTCAAAACCATGCATCTCTGCATTTCTAATGCTATAAAAATTAGATATTTTGATTACAGTGAATCTTTTATATATGTTGAAAATTTGTACATCACTTTCACGCACATTCCAGTGAATCTTTCACGCATTTGCATCATGTTTCACTAAATTAGATGATGCTGTTGTCATTCAAACATATAAGTTCTGGAGGCCCTGTTCACTTTATAATTCAAATTGTAGCAAATTGCATAACACTAATAATTGGGTGAGAGGGTTTTTTTGGTGTAAATGGAAATTTCATAAAACAATTAAATTTTACAAAATATTATCTGACACACAATACAATATAGTTCCCATTTTACAATCTAACTATAAAATAGAGTTCTCATTGGGTAAGAGTTAGGTCCATTATATTAGAACTTCTCTTCTATCAAATAATATTTATCTTACAATTAGACTTTAAAATAGAGTTCCCAAGAGAAAAAAATATTTATCTGTTGTGAACTATAAAAAATAAGCATAAATTTAAAAAAATAAGAAGATAAAGTACTTACTAAATTTATGTGTACGATATTCCATATTCACATTCGATAATATTAATAAAAAAGATTTTACCGTACCAATTGATCATTAGTACTTCTCTATCACTGTAATATATGTGATTGGTTTTTATCTTAAAAAAACAAAGTTTGCCAGACCCCTAGAACTCTATGTCGACCTCTGTCCTTATTGTTAGCAACTATTACTATTATTGTGGACATTCTGTTTTTAATTATAAAAAAATATAATTATAATATTACGTATTATTTTATATTTACAATATGATATATCTTTATAGTTATTTTTTTAGTTAGAAATTTATTTGTGATAATACATATGTATTTAATGATATATTACACTAATTTAATAATATATTATAATTATTAATTTATAATTTTTTATGATATTATAACTCAAGTATTTTCATTTAATTATTGATAAAAGAAATATATTTTGAGTTAGGAGTTAATTATTAAAAAAGAATTTTAAGTTTTACATATTAAAATTAAAAAATTACTATTACTACTTAACAGGAGTAAACATTACAAATGTAATAAGCAGTTCCGATTTTTTTTTAAAAATGCATGAGTAATTAATTTAAGATAATATTAATAAAAAAAATACAGATATATTATGAAAAAGATGAAATATGTACGAGTAGTTTTTCTTTAAAAAATCTGTAAAACCTAAAAAGCCCGAGGCGAACAGAACCGAGCCCAGTGGGACTGTGTCTGTGCCTTTGTGATATGACATATTACGGAAAAAAGGAAGAAAAGAAAGTGTCGAGAAGGAGGTTTCAAAGAAAAAACCCTTTTTATGAAAAAAACCCTAGCAGCAGCAGGCACCAGGTCTTTCCTGTGACTCTGTCTTCGTACTATTTTTTTTGTCTTATTGTATAGTACTATATACGTATCTTTTTTCAAATAAAAATATTATCCAAAATATAATGACAACTATACCGTTGTGTTGGTGCCTGCAACTACAACTACATGTATTACTGTCAGAATGTACGAAGGAGGACAACGCCAACCCATCCACGTCTTTCTTAGTTGAAGACAAAGGAATTCCAAATTAATTGCTAAACGAGCTGGCTGGCGCCGTAGCTCTCCGACTCCTACTACACTTTCTTTGATTTATCAGGGCGCTATTATTATTGTTTTTTTAGCCCACCGTGCTACTATCAGAGTACTATTGTTAGTATTCACCTTTTTTCTTTGGCCAAATACTAGAATTTGCCTAGAATGTAGAACATGTTTTAGTTATAATACACTTAATATTTTAAATTTATGATATAATATATTA